AGACATATATGCAAATAGTGGTCACCTCTGAAAGTGTAGGGCCAAGGGTGAACTAAAAAGAGGCACAAGAGAACTTGCTGGGCTAATGGCAATGTTCTATATCTTATTAGAGGTTTGGGTTACAGAGACATATACATTCATTCAAACTCAGCAAATGTACACTTAGAATCTGCATTTTTCATTGTATGTAAATTTTACATCAAAAAAGAAAATCTATACAAATACTGAACTCTCATTAGTGATATGTGTGCTGAAGTACTTAGGGGGAGGTAGACAGATATCTGCAATTTACTTTGAAATGCCTCAAAAAATGAGAGGGGTTAATATACAGTTAGAGGGATGGATAAATGGCTAGTAAATTAGATAGCATCCAGGTGTAGGTATAAGGTGTTTACTGTAAAAGTCTTTGTATTTATTGCATTTTTGAAGTTTCATATTAAAATGTTGGAGAGAAATACACATGCACTTGCTCTTTAAGTAAACCTACTTTTAGGATTCTATTCCAAAAATACTCCAATAAAAAACAAAAACAAGATGAAAATCCAACCCAAATGTCCATCAGTTGGGAGCTCACAGAATAAACAATTGTATATCCACACAACTAAATATCGTGCAACTATAAAAAAGGAATGAGAAATCTATCCATATATTGCTGTGGAGTGATCTCTAGGATACATTGTTAAGAAGCCAGTAGCAAAACAGAACATAGTTTGGTACTATGTATCAGGGTGCGTGTATACAACACATACGCATACACATGTGCACCTGTGTGTATCTGTGTTTATATTGACAGGGAAAAAAGGGAAACAATCAAAAATTAGAAGTCAACTGGTTTTAGATATGACAAAGTCACAATCCACACAAGGAAGAACATAAGCTGGACTTCACCAAAAGTAAAAATTTCTGATCTGTGAAAGATACCATCAAGAGAATGAGAAGACAAACCACAGAATGGGAGAGAATAATTGCAAAAGACATCTCATAAAGGACTGTTCTCCAAAATATACAAAGAACTCTTAAAAACTCAATAACAAACAACTCAATCAAATGGGCCAAAGACTTTAACAGACACCTCTCCAAAGAGGATGGATATACAGATGGCAAATGAACATATGAAAAGATGCTCCATTCCCAGCCTACACACAATCAAATGAAAAGATGCTCCACATAATATGTCATAGAGAAATGCAAATCAGAACAATGAGATACTACTACACTTATTAGAATGGCCGAAATCCAGAACTCTGACAACACCAAACACTGCCAATACTGAACAACAGGAACGTTCACTCACTGTTGGCGGGAACGCAAAAAATAGTACAGCCACTTTGGAAGACAGTTTGGCAGTTTTTTGTTGGTTTTTTTTTTGTTTTCCCTTACAAAACCTATAACATACTCTCTTACCATCTAGTCTAGCAATTGTGCTCCTTGGTATTTACCCAAAGGAGTTGAAAACTTAATGTCCACACAAAAACCTACACATGGATGTTTATAGCAGCTTTATTTATTCATAATTGCCAAACCTTGAAAATAATCAAGATGTGCTTCAGTAGGTGAATGGATAAATACACTGTAACATCAGACAATGAAATACTAATCGGTGCTAAAAAGAAATGTGCTCTCAAGCCATGAAAAGACCTGGAGGAATCTTAAATGCATATTACTAAGTGAAAGAAGCCAATCTGAAAAAGCTACATACAGTATAATTCCAACTATATGACATTCTGGAAAAGACAAAGATGGAGACAGTAAAAAGGCCATTGGTTGCCAGGGGTTAGGGAGGAGTGAATAGGTGGAGCACAAAGGATTTTTAGTAAAAACCAAAGAGAAAAATCTTACCAAAAAAAAATAATACCTTCAAAGGAACAAGAGAACTGTCAGCTGACTTTAACAGAAATAATGGAAACTAGAACAGAATAGAAGATATCATTGAAAAGAAAAAAAAAATTGCCAAGACGGCCTTCAAAAAATAAAGAGGTTTTCAGAAAAGTCAAAACAGAATTTTTCACTAACAAATATGTACTAAAAGAAAATTTGTTGACTAAAAGAAAAATTCTCAAATGGAAGCACAACAATGCAAGAAGAAAACACCTGGGTTAAAAAGCAATCATCATACAAGATAAAAATCAATATACTACTTACAAAGACAAGCCTAAAACTGTTAAGGGTGTACACAATGTAGAAAGAAAAAGGATGGGAAAGATTCACCATGC